AGTGCCAATCCTTAACAAAACCTTAATAAAAACAAAATAAAGCTAGTGCAAGAGTAGCAAATTATGATTATTTCATTGGTATATAATCCGAATTCCATATATTCCAAAGGCTTGTACTGACTAATTGTAAGTCTATTTTGACCACTCTATACGCTCCTTACGTTTGGCAGTAACCTTTTAAATTACCCTATATACTAGATATACATACATATATATATATGTACATTTATGTACAGTTTGAATTTGTTGAAAATACACGAAGTAGCAAAAATTGAGATTTGTTATGCACGTGAGATCTTTTTTAACCAAGTACTTAGTTAGTTACGTATAAATTATATAACTCAGTTATACTCGCTTGCATAATGCACGCACGTGTTGGGAAATTATCAACTGAAACTTTCCATCTTCGAACTATCTTCCATTTGCATATTTGTCACTCTTTAACAATAATTGTCGATGTCGGTAGTACTTACATGATTCGATTTCGGTATCGATTTCGATAAGTCGCGTACAGGAATAAGTCTCACTGGTGCAAGCAAAAGAGAATTGTGTAAATGAAAATAAAATAAAATAATTTTTTTAATCTTTGATTTTTTGTGTATTCATATTTCTCTGAAAATTAGATTTAAAATGCAGAACAAACAAAACTGTTACGTGAATACATAACCACACGCACATATGCACACACGTACGTATAGGTGGATATATTTATGTTTAATATTTTTTGGACAATTGTGTTTTTACAATCTATATTACTTTTTGCAATCAAAACTATTGATAATAAAAAGTTAATCATTTTTATTTTTTCTACAATCACCAGTATAAATGGAATGTTTTTTTTTTTTAATTAATTATTTTATTTCTATCGTTTAATCGCAGTTCTTGGATCAATGAGTGGAAACAGTCTTAAATTTTTACATAATCGGGCCCGGAATGTCCATGTCTAATAAATGATTGCCGAGATTGCGCTTACAAAGTTTTTTGCCCTCTCTGTCTCTATTTTCCGTTATTACAGCGATTTCTCTTGGTACGCATCGTTTTTCTTCAAGAGAAGACTTGTTAATAACCCAAGCGAGAGACTCTCCGAAGGAGAATTTAAAAGAAGTAATGTACGCCAAGAAATTGCTGCAATTAGAGCTGAAACTTCGGTCGCGGTAATGGAAAATGCGGTTTGAGAGAATAAGAATTCGCAAGCATAGTTTAAACTTTAAACGGCCGTTTAGTAGACGCGCTATCCCGAGGATTGGATTATGTAAAATTTTCCATAATCAGGTTTCACGTGCGGCTTAGTGCCGCCGGGCACGAGAGTTCCAATGAGATCCTAACGATGTTAACATCGAGAAAATAATTCAGAGAGAGAGAAAAAAAAAGGAGATTGTCTTGCGCGAAAGAACGTGTACCTACGCTGCGACGGGTGCGCGGGTCTTCCCGTTCTTGCTCGACGTCGCGCCGACCGCGACGGATGTCAGTGTGGTCCCCCTTCCCCCCAAAAGAGATAATTACACGTTTCAGACTTACTCGTGAACAGCTGTGAGATGCGAGAGGGCCTAGCGATCGGATTCCATGCCGTTACGTTTTTGCAGTACGCTTCCGCGGTTTATTACGATTACACGTACACGATCGTGCCGCACAATGTCACGAGCGTGCACAACGCCTACGGTGGGAAGTTCAAGTTCCTAACGTTCTGGGATGCGGTTAGTATATCGACGATGCAAAACTGATTTATGAAAACTGATTTGCGCACCGTTTCATTGGCGATGAATTTGCGATATCTTTGCCCTTTTGGTGTCGGTATACCCACACTGTCCCACACGTTATGCACGCTGCACACAAACGCATCCCACACTCCGTGTAGATCGATCCCTCTTTGGCTGTCGCCGAGATCCCGTTACGGCAAATCGCCGAAGGAAACGAAACGAGATTTTCCGCGAAACCGTTATTACGCACGAATTTGACTTCGGAAAATCTAGGCCGATACGCGAACGATAATGTAACACGATCTCAACCTGTATAAGCGGTCGTGATCCGCTTCAGGATCTGGAAATCGTTTGTAACCGGTCCTTATTATCCTGACCTTGTTATCTTTTAAATTTCATTTTTCTTGTTTACATCTGCAAAAACCGTTACTTCCGCGGGAACAATTATTTGTGCGTATGATGCGTAATAAGAAATACATATTTTAGAGATAAAAAACATGTACAGTTTCTGGCGCGGCGATCATTAGTCAAGGCATCATTCTTTTATTCCCAGACACATTTATCCTGCTTTTTCTTCCTGTTCCTCGCAAAAAAATGGAAAAAGAAAAGCCCAGAATTAGTTATTGTATTTTCTATAGAACAACATATTACGGGGCAACGAGAAACTCTAGTATATTCTTCGTAAAAACCGATTCTCTGGCGATCACAGATCTAGTATACGCAATGTATCCTTATTGCCACGTTATGTAATAGTGAAAACCGACACGTCTATCTAGCAGAGACCTGGGTGATCGCAAAAATCACAAATAACGGTGATATAATATTCCTCGAATCACCAACGTAACCGGGATTACGCTCATCGATAACGATTATACGGTGCAATCAGTAATTACAAAAGAACTTTTCTTTCAACGTAGCGTATATACGGAGTGATGATTGAGAAGCCAAACAGCCCTGTTAATTTGTGATGAACGGACAGAATGAAATGGAGACGGACACTACTCTGTAAAAGAAACCTGTCATTTTTATTAGCGCAATAAGTTAGTGCGAAAAAATATACACGTATAAACATGTAAAAATAAATATTACGAAAAAAAGACCAACAATTCAGCTCGGTTCGGATACATGTTTTTGGAATAATGACTATCTGAACTCGCGCACAATACCTAATCAAAGCGTTTTTGAAAATTTATTAATTATCACTTTCTAACATCAATAACTACATCTATATGTTTTTGAAGATTTTCAGGCAAATTTTTTTCATGAAAATTACCATACCGACAGTTTGCCGACAGTTGAATATATACCGTGCAATCAATTAAATTTTCGGCGGCAGTGTGGTCTAGTGGTAGAGCGCCAGACTCGTAATCTGAGGAATCAGGTTCGAGTCCACACTAGAGCCATGGAAAGTTTTTTCCGAAAGCTGCGCCCTCCGTGCAAGATTGGGGCCCTTGTGCGGAGCAAACTGGGCTCCGTCTTTCGGAAAGAGACGTTAAGCCGTTGGTCCAAAGGGTTAAGTGAGATTTCACCGGGGCTTTGTTCAAAATATGCGTCGCATAGATTAAACAATGTCAAAACTATGGCGTTGAGTACGGACAAATCGTCTTGGCAAGGTCATTCATTCCTTGAACAACAATTAAATTTTTGACTTTTTTATAATGCTAATTTTTATATGTTTTATAAGTGTATATTATTTTTGCATTACGTGCTAATAAAAATGACGGTTTTTAAAAATAGTATTTAAGTCATTTTATTCTGTGTCTATTATTCTATTGCAAAACAATAGCCAAAAAAGATTGTCATTCTTATTGTAATAAAAACGTTACTTTAATTTTAAGAGCTACGCAACCGTGTCGCTTATCGTATTTTATAAAAAAAATCTACAGTATATAGTAAAGAAAATTAAGAATCGAAGTAGTAATCGTTTCAAAGTGGCTAAAGTTCTAAACGTTGTAAGAAGTTGTAAGTGTACGCCACGTCTAGATGAATGAACGCAACACATTCAATACGATTACATTGGAGTTGTTTATTTTTCAATTGACATTTATCTCGAGAGTGAATCAAAAAAATACGCTTGTTAGAGACGAGCGTAAGTCCTCTTCGTTCCACTCACTTTATCCCGTTGAGCCAAAAGCGTGACTCTACATTCGTCGAGATTACGTTCGAACATTTTGTCACTTATCGTCGGACGGTGACACACACTCGACCATTTCACGCTTGAATTGCCGCCATCAAACCGCTCGTAAAGAGCAAAATTCAATTGTTTAAGCACCACTGCCACCACTTCATATTATGCAGCGAAACGGAGGCACGTGTCGCGCAAGACTGCTTGTGCGCAGCGTCAATCGTTAATTATCGCTGAAATGTTCGTTTAACTCGAACTAATCGTTTCATCTAACAAAACTATAAGAGCATCGACTTCCGATCTAAGATTCAAGATTTCTAAATTAGCCTGAGTTTCATTCGTCCACTTTTTAATTATCGAATAAGCAGAAAATCACTATCGCGGTAGCGATAAAAACTTTCAAACCTAATAGTTTATTATTAATTTTTAACGATTAAAATAGCCCTTTTGATGAGTTTTTATTTTTGTACTCAAAGAACCTCAGTCTAGATGATTAGGTAATTAATCTTGATATCGAGAGCAGCGCAGATAATTAGGTCACTTCCTTTTGCTCTGTCATCGCGTCGAAGTGTCGCTCGTGGTGATTTGCACGTGACATGCATCATCACTCGATTGACACGTGATAAGCCTATATGGACGGTGTAGAACAAGCGTTTTGATGGATAAATACTTGGTCTTGAAACGTCAATATTAGATCTAGGTGTCCAAACGAAATCGTATGCGTCGTGCGATAATCTACGGATAATATTGATCGATTATACAGTATTATGTAATCTTACATAATATCGATTATACAAAATATTACGTTGACCATTAAAAGGTGCATAACATTTGATCATCGTGCTTTACATGAATATTGTAAATTGACAATCGAAAGAGTTCGATTTTGGCTTAAAAGAAATTTAAATGACAAGCTGAAAAACATTTAAATACACAAAACACGATATGCTTTAAAAATTTTTTTTGTTCTAGAAGTAAAACTTGCCGTTTAATATTCGAATGTATATGATTATATTATTATAGATATATTTTCGAATGTATATTGATGTTCGAAATAAAATATTCAGTTTTCGATACTTGCTAATCTTGTCATTCAAAATTTCTTTAACGTAACGTAAATGTGCAGCATGTACAATAAATGCGTATGAGAATGTAAGTCATTCATTAGGCATAGGCAATTTTGCCGCTTGTGTTTAACAATGTCTTTATCTAATCGATGGAATGACATTTAAACGTTAAACTATGTAAATGATAATTTACGCTGGGAACGGCGATAATCGATAGACGCAGAAAGTTCCAAAGTTTGCCTATACGATGAAGAAAACCAGAAAAACGTCAAATAATGAAATATATGATTATATTTTATACATATATATATATTTTAGATTATATTATTTTAAGTAGCAAATATAAAATACAAGTAAAAAAATCGCTTGTTATATAAATTTCTTTAAAGCCAGCGTTATTTAGTCAATTATCTCTGAAATCTTAACTCGGAATTATTAACAAGTTTATTATTAATACGCATTTATTATTAACGTATATCATTATATAATATAATACATAATATAATTATACTAGTTATTATACATATTATAACAATTATTTATTATTAATATATATTATTTATTATTAATACATTAATTATAAAGCAGTCCTGAGTGGAAGTACGCAGCGATAATATTAGTTAAACCGCAGTTAACTTTAAGCGATATTTATAATTATTGCGACACTAAAAATACTTATTGACTTGTTAAATTAAAGCACCTTGAAATGTCACCTGTGTTCTAGATTCTGCAAGCGATATTCTTTTTGATATGTCTTCTGAACGATCTAATCGGCACGAACGCCGTAAACCCCAAGAAGCCGCCCTTCATGCGGAAGCTGAAGGATCATTTACATGCGAGTCTCGGGTTTCCCGTTGCTATGGTGAGTAGTATATAATTAAATTCCATTCGCCTCAAATTGAGCAAAAGAGAAAATATCGGTAGTTTAGATACTTCCTTAGATACAATCCTTATGAGTTTAATTCTCCGGAGTAATGAGAGAAGAAGAATATTTTCGAAACGGGGCCGAATGAACGACAAAAGAAGAATCGATTTCGCTTCTGCGAACCGTACAGTGTGTCACATTCGCAGTTCAAATATTGATATTAACGTACAAGTTAATTTAGCATGTATACATTTTAGTAAAGCGAGTTTTTTCTTTCTTAAATAAATGTTTTCCTAATTCTGTCCCGCAAATGCGTTTGCACGAAAGCGACACGTGTCTTGCGCTCAAGCCCAACGAAAAACATTGCTTAAATAAAGTAAGGATAAATAGGGGCCGATAAAGTTACATCAAATTTCAAAAATGAAAAGAGAGATATACAATAAAAATTACATACAAATGTTTATTTTCTACATAATCATTATTTTTTTAGAGCACAGACATCCCAGTTTTTTTACAAATTTAAACATTTCTTCGCAGTTTTTTTTTGTCTAAAGTTCATGAAATAGAATAGAATTGTGGTCTTAATTATGGTCTTATGTCTTTTTATCTTCGAAGCTTCTTACCGACAAAAAATTCTTATCAGACAGAACTTAAAGTACCTGCAATACTTTCCATTTCTGTAGTACCAAATAGTCCCGACCTAGTCTAATCAACTTCCCATCTCTTCGATACGTCTAACATAAGAACTTTTTACCAGGAAATAAATTCGAGAACGACGAGATATTGAATCTTGAAAAAAAGAGTGAGAGAATGTTTACACTTTTAAAACGCTGGGATAAATGTTTCAACACTTATAGCGGCTATGTAGAAAAATATCTATTTATATATAAATTTTATTTTATTTCCTCTTATTTTGAAATAAGAATTTTTATATAACTTTGACTTATATTTTATGTATCCGATATATTCTCGTATCCTTCTCTAATTTAAATAAAATCTGTATTTTTTTACTTGAAAAAAATTAAACGATTGCATTAACTTAAAATACATGCTGAAATATTTGAAATTAAGCGATATTTGTTCAAAGAGGAAATATTTAATTCTCAGTTTGTACACAAGTATTGCTCGTTGCGAAGATTCGTAAATAATATAGAATAGTATAGAAACTTGAATCGTTGAAAGTTAATGTCGATTTTGTTGCCTTGCAGTTCGTCGGCGTGACTTTCTGGGCGTTGATGTTCGTGGACCGTGAGCTGGTGTTGCCGAAAGCGCTGGACCCATACTTTCCATGGTGGCTGAACCATTTGATGCACACGATGATCATGGTGACGACCGTGTTAGAAATGATCGTCGCGCCACGACAATATCCCAAGCGATCTCGCAGCCTCGGAATACTTACTGGTTTCATGCTCACGTACTTAGTTTGGTGAGTGAAGAAACGGATTTGCGTGTATCCGCTCTTCTTTGTTGTAATAATAAGACGTTACGAGGAGTAAGTGTGTCGACAACTTTACATAATGCAAGTTTACAAAGAGGATGCGGGAAGTATTTCAACGCGGTAATTTTGTATCTGTCGACGATTAGGAGTTCTGGAGATTCTAATCCACTCCAGAAGAAAGTTGTGGAGAAACTCTTGATAACACGAAGAAGAAAGAAACTATTATAAGCATCTCACTCTTGGTACATTAAGTGCATAGAACATTACACGGTGTCTTTCAAAATTTCAGGATACACGTAATCTACTTTAAAAGCGGCGTCTGGGTGTACCCCGTGATGGACGTGTTGACGCCGCCGCTACGGATCGTGTTCTTCGCCGTGCTGCTGACGTTCTGCACGATCCTATACTTCGTCGGGGAGATGCTGAACAACATCATCTGGGGTAACGAATACACAAAGCATAAAAAATCTCACGCCAAATCCAAGTAGCCTCGCCCAAGCGTTCCTAACGGGTGATAAAAACCGCATCTGCCTGCCGCCTGCGGTGTTGGTGAATAAAACAAAAAAAAATGGATCTTTTCTACCACCCTCCGTTACAGCATGCGCGATGTTATCATTTGTCAGAAAATAAATGTCATTTAGAATGTTAGTGCTGTGTATATGTGCATGCGAGGCGCAGTTTAGGGTATATAACAGTGAGGAGGATCGGCGTGATCGTTAACCCGGCGCGGTGGAGATAAGTAACACGGACGAGCAGGAGTAGCATGCAAAAGGTGCAACGCATTTCTACGCGATCACGGACCAAGGGAGACTAATCCGTGGGTATAGCCATAGCGTTTCTTTCTCTCATTTTCTTTTTCTTCATGCGCCGAGCGAATAAAATGATGCGTCATATCAATCCATCACCCTTCATCCCTTAACCGCGATAATAGTTATTTTTGTACTTTCGTAGGGAACGACCTATCATATTATTGTTTTTACCAATAAAGTCATAATTGTAACATACGATGCACGTAGAATACGTGTGTAATATATGCATATAGATGTACGATGTAGCGTACATGACAATTTGAACTAAAGTCCAGATATATTTGTGTGATCGAGTGTAGGAAAAAAATACGTAGCGGTAACGGAGAGCGTGGAGCCGGATATGAAAACGTAGAAACGGCGGACGGACGAGAGGGAATCTTAAATGTACACGATCGTAATATACCGATCATCCGGGGATAACGTGCCGAGGACATTTTCTTGCTACGAGTGAGAAGTGCCTTGGCGAAACCTATTACGTTTACGGAAAGAAGATATTGACTCCGACGTTGAAACGAAAACATATGATTATCTATGTATGATTATATTGGTACAGTTTAATTCAGCGAGTAATTTAATGATACGTATGGCCTAAGAATTGATATTGATTGCCGTAACATATATTTTCCTAGAAGTTTTATTAAAATATGTTCCATAGATAGACTCTTGATATCTGTTTCCTGCCAGGATATTAAATAAAGCTTAAATTGGAACGTGTACGTCACGTCAATAAGAATTATACATTATTTATAGAATGTGTCTCGCTAATGGTTCGATATGCTACAATAAAAATATAAATGACGATAATTTTATCTCTGATTTTTCTCGGACAAGAAAGATATTTTAAATGCAATCAATGAACTTGTAACACGTTGGGAGAGAAAGTAATATACATTTTCGTATTCCGCGTATACATATTGTAATAGTGAAATTTTAGAGACGTTTAAAAATATTGAGAGAATAATTAGGCTAATGTAACAAATATGAAAAAAATGCGATACGTAAAATAGAGTACTCCATAAATATATTAATAATTATTACAAAACATGTATAAAATGTAATGATACAAAGAGACACAGCTTACAATTAGTACTTTCCAATAGAAACATTTGTACTAGCCGCAAATATTCGACTTATGTATTAGTAATATATATATATATATCTAGCAATATATATATCTAATATATATCGCTTACTTTTATATATATATATATATATATGTATATATAAAAGTAATCCGATCTACTTTTTTGACTATAAAATGTGGCTGTTGCAAAAGTTAATTATTTATTAGTCAAAAAATCAAGAATATTCATTGTTTTGCATTCTATGAATGTGCTTCAAATTAATATTACATTAAATGAGTAAATATTAAATGGATCTTTTTGTTTGCAAAGTAACCATTAATTTATAGATCAGTAATAGAGAGAATTGTAAAACGAGTTTTATTCAGCCACTTTTGTTAAAAAAAAATAGATGTATGAACATACTCGCGCACACACACATACATAGAATATCTTACTGTCACAGAATGTTCGATACATTCTTACAAACATTGGAAGACATACGATATTAGAAATACAATAGTATCCACTTTTACGGGAAAATATGTACAACGTAATGTATTTAAGATTCTAGTGTCATCACAAATTAAAAATTAATTACCTAGGACTCGATGCGAGTTGTCACACACGCGACACACAACAGTTATGGATACCGTATTAAAATTTGATTACTATTTTAGCGATAATAATAAAATGTGGAAAAATATATTTATACATATTTTGTGTTGTACCTACGGATCTTCTCAAGCGGCATTATTAACCCAGCTTTTGTTATTCCATCGTATAATATTTACAAAAACGACCAATAAAATTTATTACTTGATTTTATTTTTGTTCCGAATACTATAGCGATAGAAACGATAAGAGAAGAAAGACATAATCCGATCAACGATACGTAACTATTTTTACTATTTCGATAAATTATACCTATCCAGCACACACTTTCTTACACGCGCATTTCGCAGTATATTTAAAAGAGCAAAAAAAGTTCTCAGTCTTACGTCGCGATATTCTTACTTTTTTTCAATTGCGGCGATATTTGAGTCCCCTTGGAACTACAATGTCTGCTGTTAATTATCTCGTCGATACTCTGCTTTAATTCTTCCATCTCCAGTATATCGAGCGGCAGCGAAGTCTGCGTCGCCATTTCCCTAGCATTAGTCTGTCCGTCGCCTTGCAGCAATCTCGTTAACTCTGGATAACACGAGGTGAGACTAGAATCCATATCGTTCATCACAGCTTTCCTATACGCCTCTTTCTTCTCGTTTTCATTCTTCGCTTTAATATCGTTAGCCTCCTGAAGCAGATGTTTCAAGATAGCTTCGTCCTGCAGAACGTACTTGCCCCTATGACCACCCTCGCGACTTCTTCTACCACTTTCATGATTATAAGTCTTACAGTTCTTACTGCTACACTCTTTATTCTTATTACGCTCGTGTGCGTTGTCTGGATCTAACATTTTTAATTCATCGTCTGATTGACTGCCCTCACTGTCACTGTCCTGTTCATCTTCCTTCTCCATATTGCCTACTTCCAGGTCGATGTCCTTATCAGCCATATCTTGATGTATCTTCTCTTCGCTACTTAAATTTTCGTCGCTGCCGCTTTGCCCTCTCAACAAAAAAGGCAATAGCATGCCCGTGTTCTTAGTGTCGATAATTTTCAAGGCTCGCTCATCCAATCCAGCGTTTCCTAGTCTTCTGCCCATATTGGGCATTGGAACTTGAGTCATTAGTTGACTGTCTTGAGAAGTAGTGCTGCCTCTCCTAGAGAGCGGATCGATTTTGGCTGATCGGGATTTCCCAAAGTCTCTTCTGCTCTTTCCACGACGACCGCGCGACCGGCTTGCGACCTTTCGTGTCGTCTTCACCTGTGCGATCTGCACGGATATTTGCGAGTCCAGAGAATTTCGTCTGGATTCCATAGAAACGCATCGGAAACTGTAACTGAACTCGGAATCCACCGAATTTCGTCTATTACTAGACACAGATCCTGTAGTGCCGCCGACTAGCGCACCCCTTCGCGTTACTAATTTCGGCAAAGCGGCCGCCCAAGTGGTGCTGAAATCTTGCGACGCCGCGGAATTGAGATCGAAGTTTAGTCCAACCGGATCCGCGTGGGTGTTGTGAAAACTTATGGACAAACGACCGGCCTTATTAAATGTCTTCCGGTTCGCGAATAAATGCGCGATAAGCTTGTGCTTGCTCAGTCTTATAGGAGGCTCCTCAGACTCGCGATTGAAGATCCTGCAAACGAGGAGGAAACACATACTACTCAGAATCGCATTATGGCGACAATGGCAAGTCAACAAAGTAAGTATCTAGGATGTATTGAAATTTACCTTCTCAGAAATCTGCACCATGTATTGATCGTCGAGCTAGTCCAAATCCACGAGGACATGAGTATGCCGGTAGAAAATAATGCGAGCAAATGCAGTTGCAGTTTACCCGTGCTAGGCCTCATATCCATTTTACATTCAGATACGTCTGCATACTTTGTCGTAATCATGCATCTTTAAACAAATTCAATTACATTACACTTACATTACATTTAAATAATACAGGATTATATAAAAAGTATGTGTCTAATAGATTATAGTTCAGATATATTTATAGAAAATTTCCTATTATGTAAAATACGTATTTTGAGTATACACGGACTATAATATTACATATATTGAAGTTTCCTTACGTCATATAACTCCTGAAGCTTTGTTGCCACTGCTGCGAGTTCTGAATTTCATAAATGTGACAATAAAACGTTACAACAACAGCTGCAAAAGTAGCTATAGAAAAGAGCCCCATTCTGACAATGGTTTGTTTTATCTTTGAACTTGCTCTTTCAGATATAATTTCTTGACTGCTTATTTTTAAGCGAATAAGCGTGTAAAGCCCTAAAATACGTGCAAAATTATATATCGCAGATGCAAGAATAATTTTTCGATACGTTATATATACAATAATAGATTAATACTCACAATTTAGATTAATATAGAAAGCATGGAAAAATATGTAAAAATTTTAATATCATATATCGATACAAATATATGAAAGATAAGAAACAATAAATCTACCTCTGCATAAAAAGTATCCTCCTATGAGCACGCCAAGTAATACGGGACCGAGTACAAAAATTTTCGGCGCATGATCGGCATAACCCACGAAGCAAATTCCCGTCATGCTGTTGCCGTCAATTCGGCCTAACGCCATGATTGCGACCGTCAAAACGAGTGGTATGCACCAAGCGATTAGATGGAAATAGGCACTCTTTTTGTCTATCCGGTCTTGTATCGTGCCAAGTGCTCGAAAGCTCATGTGCCAAGCGTACGTCAATATAACGAACCATACCACAGCTGCCATTAGCGAGTAATACACTAAGACGAAAACAACGACGCAAGATAGATTTTCACCGCTGTAAGAATATTTTATAAAATTAGATCAACATATAAAGATCATTACTATGTATTCGTGAAACATACCTTGGTTCTCTCGTTCTCAACGTTCCGTCTTTGCGGCATATAATTACATCTCTACTGCCAGGAGTAAATTGAACCAGCCAGCCAATGCAAGATACCATAAAGCAACTATTTATGTAAAATATCACCAAAGCTGGATATTTGTTTGCGCTTCTCCAATCTATCAAAAATGTTACCTGGAAAATGTACATAATTTTTTTATATAATTGATATGTCATGATATATATCATTTATAAATAACTTTTCCACGCCAACTTACAATGGTGACTAAATTGAAAAAGCAGCAGATTCCTGCGGCCCATCTTATGAACAAATGTATTTGATCGTGTTCATCAGACGTGTATAACGGATCATAACATGGCGTTCCACAGCCCTCCACTCCATCAAAAATCGAAAGAGCATTGTCAGTAGGTACAAGAGGTTTCAAACATTTGCCCGAGACATTGAATTTCAATTCCCTAATGTCATTCTGACACAAACGCGGAAACAATTTCGTATTGTCACACTTTGCAAAATTCGGCCATATCGTATTATTCATCAACATCCTGCAGGGTCCCGATACCATCTTGCACATCTCTTGAGACGGCAATTCGACTGTATCATTAATGCATTTCGGCATGAATATTGAGCATAAAAATGGCTGAACGACTGCCCAGCATTTTGGCACATGTTTCAAAGCTTGCAACAAGTACAGTCTTTCCTGAAAGAGGATGCATATAGAACAATATAATGTATCCTCTAATTCTAATGTATTATAGAAGAAAAGCAATATAATATCTACTATAACATATTATAAACAACTTGCTATTAAGAATGTTAAAAGCTAAAATAAAAATCTATTTAAGTATAGCTGGCATAACAAATTATATTATCTTTATATCTTAATGCTCCACACCATAGAAAGGTTAGCCTAGTAAGTGCATAGTAAGAAATGAGATACCTGAGACAACACAAATCTTGAGACTTAAACTTCCTGGTTTATATAGATGCAAAGTAGGTTTATTCCTTAGAAAGCTTCGCAACGCTAAGTTTCTAACTTGCATGCGTAAATTTTCGCAAAAGTCACGTTTTATCAGAAAGGAAAAAAAAAAGAACACATTACTGATGCAAAGAATACATAAATAATAATCTTATCTACCTCAACAATGTCCTGAGTTACACGCTCGGGTATGAGGTCCAACGTGGTAAAAGTGTAAGGTAATTTCGTACCCATACAAGTATTTCTAGACAGCGGAAGACATTTGGCGGGTCTGCGGCAGGTCGAGATATCCGGCGACAATTCGCCTATGGGATATCTCTCCAACAGATAATTGGGATCCTTGATCCTGTTATGCCGGCTCAAATCCACATCCTTCCACGTACCGTTTTCACCATTGTCGTTAGCTGTGAATCCATGCTCCAGTTCCAAAGGCGAGCCGTTGCGAAGCAACAGGCAACAGAGGATCAGCAAAAGTATCATCTGCGAGTGGAGAACGAAAGTTTGTCACAATCAGAAGTGAATCAATTTCAGAAAACGTATATTTCAACGTAAGCAAAAGCAGAGAAGCGAGTCCTTCTCCCACATCTCCGAGAGAAGACAAAAGAAACTCCATTTCTCTTTCACAAGTATGCGACGTCTCTTCCACGAGGTTCCATCAATCAATTAATTGATTTTTTAAGACGAAATGTCACGTGGGGACAAGAGCGCGAAATAAACAATGGGATTAGCGGTCAGAGGACGCGTACTACCTTCGTGCGGTCGGGCTTCACGGATCGATCCCGGCTAACCGTCTAATTGTAGGCAAGGTCTGCGTCTCGCATCTTCTACGCGACAGCCACTACTCGAAGTCGAAGCGCACGATTCACGAACCAGCCGGACCACACAACGCGTCGCGTTCCCGGTCGGCGGACCACCCACGGCGCGCCTTCCATTCCAGCCTCCCCCTCACTTTCTCAAGTTTGAACGCACACCACAGTGCCAGTCGGCCACGTGCATTGCTCACCGATGGCAGCACCACTACCCGGCGGCGTCATCGCGTCATCGCTACACACGCGCGGAAATCAAGGCCGAAATACGCCGAGACGGTAACAATGGGTAACAACGAGTCTTTCCCGCGTATGCTCGATTTATATTTCGGAGTCGTGCAAGTATTAAAAATGCAGTGCTAAAATTGTTAGATTTTAAATTTATAAATACGTTATACAATAAGTTGTATTTTCTTGAGAGAGAATACATACAAAAATATTTTATATATATAATATAAACATAAAATTGTTATATATGTATATAAAGGTAATGATTTAATGAAATTTTTATATTAACAATGACTAAAAGTGTAACATTTGTTGTATACATAATCGTTTTATATTTTATATTTTGGCAAAGTTGTTAATATACAAATTTAATTGAATTTTTTTTCTTGATTTCTATGAATTACTTAATATTAAAACATCAAAGTTTTTGTCGGATTTATATATAAATATACAATAAAAAATTTTAATATGCGTAGAGGCGTTTTATTTATATCTCTTTTATTTTCTTACATTTAACAAAATTACGTTACTAAGAATGGACTATGTACGGTATTTGTAAAATGATTATGAAAACTATTTACATTTTCCTATAAAGACTATCGGCCACTACAGATACACAAAAAAATGATCGAAACTTTGTTTATTATTTTCATTTAGTCTGTCGCAAAAATTTTATTTCTATGCTTTAATATTGGAAGTCTTAACTATACAGGGTGTTTACGAAATACTTGGACAAACTTCTAAGGCGTATTCCTCACATCAAAATAAAGAAAAAAGTTTATACAAAACCATAGTAAAAAATGAGTAGTATTTCGTAAATATCCTGCATAACTATAGATATATATCATTCAAATTGTGTTATTAATTGTCCTTCACAAGTACATAAAGAAATGTTAACTAAAATTTATTGCACAGGACAATTCTATGTACAGAATCTCTCTTTCTCTCTTGCTGGAATTATTTGTCATGTGTTCAAAGATCAATGAATTTTAATCGAGAAGTATTAAGTGTAATATTAGCGTACTAATATTTATTTAAATGTTTGAGGTTATGAATAATTTCTAATATTTTTTTAATTTTCTGACTTAATTTTGTATAAAAGCAATTACAAAATACAATTATACAAAAATACGAGCTGTATAACAATTTTTCCCACTCTATTAATTGTACGTGATAATTAAAGGATAAATCTGCAGAAAACGACAGAAAAAAAAGTCTAACTATCTCATGTATAGCTTCACGTATTTCAAGTTGCTAGAACATACATAAAAATAAAACAGGTTTTAGCAATAACTAAAATGATTTTTTATAAAAAATGTATCACGATAAAAAAGTAATTCTTTGCGGTATAGATAACATTTTCAAATTAAATGCAGTATAATTATTTGGATGGACGCACAAAAAACATAACATAGATAGACACATTTTTTAATTTTTTATAAAAAATGTGTCTACTAAATTTGCAGACAAAGTGTATAATATTACAATGACGTATTTTATTCATCATAATTAACCAGTTATACTGAGAGCATTTATATTTGCCAGTAAATTTTTAACGTCATCCTGAACCTGATCCGAGGTATTAGATAAGGAAAGACGCGAGCAAAAATTGCTCAATGTTTCTATATCTTGTTCTCGCATATTCGCCTGTTTTTGCAGATACGCCATTAACATATTAATTATATTATGCATCTCCTCCTTGACCTTAAGCATATCCTCATTGTTACTGTTTCGTTGTAACATCCTTAATCTCGTTTTCGCTAATTGCAGTGGATTGTAGCCATACGAGTCTAATGCGAGAACGTCAGTACCAGCTGTTAAGAGTAGCATCACTACCGACAATTTGTTGTTAACCGTAGCTAGATGCAGCGGCGTGTTTCCAATACAGTCACGCTGATTTGGGTTTGCACCCTTTTTCAATAATAAACGCACCATTTCTGTATAACCCCTGTGACAAAGAACATAAAGTTTGAACGGTAACTTGATTTTGAGCTATTACTGTGAATGCCTTAAGGAAGATATATATATATATATATACATGAAGTCATTATAATATACATGTATCAAGATATAAATTACCTGCAAGCTGAAATATGAAGAGGAGTTCGCCCATGTTCATCCTGATGATTAGGTGATACGTCAAAGTCCAAAAGCCTCTTCATCAGAGTAATATTATTTGTGAAAGCAGCCGTCCACATCCTTTGGTGAATACGTTCATTTCGACATTCAAACAAGGGAGAGGGATGGGTCATGCCTTTGCGCCGGTTGATAGGTTCGTTTAACTTACGGTAGTGGAGAGCCACTATGACATTAAAATTATTATTATATAAATAAAAATTAAGAGATTATTTATATAACATTTGGCTAAAAAAAAAAACTGTTTGAAAAGATCTAAAAAAATAATGTGGCAAAAAGAAATGGTTATTTCTTTTAAAAATCAAAATAAAATAAAGATACAAAATTGCCAAATGGTGAATAAATCAAAATTTGTAAAGATACTCACTACGAGAGTGGCGTCTCAACAACTCCTTATTCTTCTCCTCTATCTTCTCCTGTAGCGTTTGTTTCTAAGACAACAATAATATCCTTTTAATTCAACATTTTTATTTATCATATTATTTTTAACAGCTACATTTAACAGAAAACTGTACTGTGAAAATCTGTATTAGGTCTGTTTTTTATAGTTGCTTCTTTATAGTGTACACTCATTGTACTTGAAATGAATATATGTTTGGAGTTTGATAGAGAAAGAAAGTTTTAATGCAACACAGTAAAGAACAGATCTATTAATAATGATTTGAAGCGTTTCATTAAACAATCCTCTTTTGTTATCTCTTATTTTCACTTTGCATTTCTACTCGACCGAATCTTTTGGATCAAATTCTCGCGTTGTCCTGCGACTCGCAGCTGTTTACCAGTGTGCAGCAATGATTGTAGATACCTTTCTGGCAATGTTGGCTTCGACTTCTGGCCCCTTCTTCAGCGTCTTCAGCAATATCATAGAAAGGACTTCGGACGAGCTGCGCTGACGTATGAAATCGGACCATTCCTCGCAAGTGTTCAATATTGGAAATTCGCTGGGATCGTCAGGTGACATGGTGCTGCTGAGCATGACCTGGCCGAAGCCTTGCCGGAGCTGCTGGCTCTCTTGCTGAGCGGTCGAGCTGTCATTCGAATCGTTCCCGGTCTCCACTCCCGAATCTATCGACGTCATGTTTACATTAGAGCACGCAACACTGGCACGAGCGGCGATCTGCTCGGGCAGCATCACCTCTGGCCCCCATGTGTTTAAAAAAATGTCGCTCATCGGTACGATCACGTATCCCACGAAGATTTTATCAGAAATCGACTTGCGTACCACGGACGAGCGTGACGAACAAATCGGACTTTTCGATCTACTCCTGACAGTCCTCCGACAGCTTTTTCGACTACCCTCTCTCTCTTGCGTCACCTCTCGGCTATCTCTTTCAAGAGTAGATATTGGTAGATATCCAAAGTATACGCTGGTATACGCCGCGCGTCGCTGCCTCGGGCTTTCAGGCTTTCTTTTACCTTCGCTATTTCGGCTTTCGCGTCGTTTCTTCGGCCTTCGCGTCATCAGGTACCAAATGTACCAATCAGTATGATCGCGCGTGCGTGAAACGAGAACGCCGCAGGGCTGCGTTCGGAAACGTCACCCGAGTGCACACGAGTATACTCCCTTCTCTTTCTACCTCAGCGGGTCTGTGTCGATTGGTTGGTTCTAAAAGTAATCACTATCGAATTTGAGAAGAATAATCGACTGTGATTGGTCAATTCTTACGACTCACGACTTTACGACTCACATTGTAGACCTAGCATAAGAGCCAATCACGTTCGACTGCTACTGAGCGGTTTGGTCTGCTGAACGCACCCAACTTCAGTCCGTCTTGTGTTCCGATTGGTCGAAATCTAACCTCTAACTCGCAGTTCGACCAATCTCCAATCGCGTAGTCTGATACGTGCTTTAGGTCAGCTGCTTTACGACGTTGCCGCTTTCTCGAATTGGAGTCAGTCGAAGATCTGGATCGAAGCTGTTTGAAAGATCTGGAAAGATCTGTGACATCCAATAAAGGAGAAGAAGAAGTGAAGTGAGAAGAAGGAGGGATTTGCAAGGACACGATCTCATTTCAAGAAGAACAGACGTCGCGCTAGTACCTCTTACAGCCCGTCCATTGAAATTCTGAAAATGGGAGTCCCATCGTCCGCAAGTACGGAAGTCAACAACGTCAACATACTGAACGAGATTCATTATTTGAGAAGTAAGTTCGCGATTTTCTGAGAGTATTCCTGATCATCCGTCTATCTGGAATAAAGACCAAGAGTAAATATGTATAATCCGCTCGGACTTCGGACTTCGGCGAGAGTACGCTTCCTAAGCAAGATTTTAGCGTATATTCGAGCAAAATATTGCGGCAGATTGGCATTAATCCGTGTTTACGTTCTGTCGGCAGAGCCTACCGATGTAATCTGACAGCAGATTGCCAGCAAAAACCAACTAGAGCGATCTGTCATTTAATCGAAATTATTTGAGTGGACATACATTATTTTTAAATGTTCATAAAATGGCAGAGTCTACTTGGTTACTGCAATCGTTCTGCCACCATATGCCACCATATTCAGCGATGTAACAGACTTTGTTGTATTTCTGCATTCAAATGCCGACAAAATTATGTAAATAGCAGCACTGTGCAAAATTTGATCTAGAAAATGTTTTAGTATAAAAAAAAAAAATACAATTTTAGTTTCAAACAGCTCTCAAGCATAGACTGCGCTAAAATAGCAACGACAACGAAAGGTAACACTGGTAACAGTGAAGGTAAATCAATTTGTTGACAGTGGAAGTCTGCTAAATAACATAACGGTTTGATGAAACGTTTACATAACAGTGATGGTAATGTGATGTTTTTGTATTTTGTACATAACTCCTTAAATTAGGTCAAAATATTCTTCATATTTCAGATCTCAATAAGAGTGTACTCGTCCTAAACATTTACCACAATAAGCTATCTCATTAAGATTAAGCTAATAAATTTTCAAAGTTTCTTGGTCTTTATTACAAATTTTATTCCGCACACGGTTAAAATTCTTATAAAATTATTTTAAAAAGTTTTGTTTTATTGTCAAGATAAAACAATCCTTTTTCTTTTTGCTCTGACAATATGGAATTACTACACGAGATTAACTATCTTATATATAATTGCAGGTCAGATAGAGCAATACAGACAAAAGACACAAATCATTTTGCAGTCGGGTGATAGAATTAATTGTCCAAACAGAAAATTCAAATTTGTAAAGCCAAAAGTTCAGTCGGATTCGAAAAGTCTGGTTTGCAATTCTTCTTTAAATTCTAAAATGTTACCTGAGAGTTCAACTAAAAACGTACATGTAAAATCGAGATTGCTCGCCACAAACGTTCACGTTAATCCAAACTTTAAACCGCAAAAGCCAACGGTACATATCAATCCGAATATCCAGGCTAAACCTTTGATACATATTAATCCAAAAATGATGCACGATATTTCTAATTCAAATCAAAACCTCTACAATAATATAAGCACGAGTAGAGCACAAACGAACACGAATACAACACAAACAAAAGTAGATAACGGTACTGAGCAAACGAATGTCAAGAGATCTATATACGTTAATCCAACATTATTGAAGAAATTGTCTTCCTCCAAAGAAAAGTCGACAAATTCTAGAGAATTCGTTGCAACAGAACGACCTGTTTGTTCAAGGTTGAAGTTTGTAAAAAATATCGATAATCGAAAGAGCTCGCCAAGGAAGACTAGTAATTCTAGCATTGTACTTTTGTCGCGTAGAAAGCTCGTGAGAGTATCTACTACGAAAAGCACGTTAAAAACTTCTCCATCAAAATATGCAGTATTAAAAGATAAGAAGCTTGAGATTGTGTCACAGAAAACCATGAAAGTAAAACCATCAATAAATAATACGTTACAATCTACAAGTATGATATCTAATTTATCAAAATCAAATATCAAATCTAATAATAAATCTAAAGTGACCAAGTATAAAATAGACAGAACCGCGTTAAATATATCAAAAGCTAAAGGAGCCGGTCTTTCAGAAATGGTGAAGGTTATGTAAGTAACATGTACATTTATATCTAATAAGTTATAAAATTAATTACTTGAAAAGAAAAGTTTATATTACAGACACGACGCGAAGAAACTTGTTACTATTGGTGGGATTGTTTATAGAGCTTCCAAAAATAAATTAATCCGGAGGAGCTCCGTATTGAAACGTACGTGTATTGTGGTGTGATTTTATTTTATTAGTATTAGGTGTACGTAGTTTTATAATTTGTAAGTATACATTCTATTAATTTTACTATGGAAATTCAGGAAAACGATCAGTCAATGGAAAGAATGATAAACTTATTAATAATAAGAAACAACGAATGGGCAAAGAAACTTTAAATTCATCAGAAACGAACATTAATGCCAAAACAAGATTTTCTTTCAATGTATCTCCGAAAGCTACTTATAAGAATAGTATCAGGTACAGTAACATATTTATATAAAATCTAAAGCTATGTACGAACTAAAGATTCATTGTTATTGAGTTTTGATACAAACCTCTTGGCTTGTTTTTAGCAACAAAGCAAAACAAAGAAGCATACGAATCCTACGAAATAAAATGCATAAGAATAACCAACCTTGTTTGATTTATCAACGATTTGGATCTTGTCCAAATTATGAAAATGGGAAATGTGCCAAACGGCATGATAAAAAGCAGGTGTCACTCTGCAAAAAGTAAGTTAATACTTGAAACATTGGGTTATATGATTAATGTTCATAGTTTATGTGTATAATCCAGATATTTATTAAACAGAATTGAGCTATAGGGTTTATTTTAATCTAACCAGATAATTTTTTGAGATAACTTTCAAAATATTTTTCAAAAATTAAAAAAAATTGTTTCCAAAAATTGTACAACTTTCAGGGAGAAATAATGTGGCAATCTTGAATTGCTTATAAAATTGTCAAGTTAAGATCAACTTATAATTAGTTAACTTTTCTTAATTAGAAATCTCATCAATCTTCTCAATCAATTTTTACTATATATTTTGTAGCTGACGTCAAGATGTTTTCAGAACATTTATATAAATCCTATTTTGATTTAAAAATATTTTATAATTATTAAGCTATTTAAAATTTCACTAACAATGAAATATGTCTGATTAATGTGAGTCCTTGCTCTCAAAGACAAGTTCGAGTCTTCCTATAACTTAAATAACCTTACAGTCTTTCCTCAAATGTGTATTACCATTAGCAATCTCTGTCTAGATGAAATTGTTTTAATAACTTTAAAATGCTCTGAATTGACACACTCTAACGTTTTTTCATATCTTTATAGTTGCAGTTATCGGTTTTTTTTCCAAAACAATCTAGTGTTTATTTCTTCACAAGTCATCTAATTACATTAAAATGAATCTGTATATGGATTGTAATTATAGTATAACAGTGTAAAAAAATTGTAAAATTTTTTTATTTCTGATAAGGCATGGTTCAGAACAGCGAATGTTAAAAATCGTGTAATTTTTTCAAATATATCCAGTTTCCTGCAAGGAAAGTGTTTCTTAAAGAAATGCTCTTTATCTCACGACGTTGGACCTGAGAAGATGCCTACATGCAAGTACTTCCTCGATGGCTGTTGTACAAGAGATGCCTGTCCTTATCTTCATGTTAAAGTGTCTTCGAACACTTCAATCTGCATAGATTTTTTACAAGGATATTGTGCTAAGGGAAATAAGGTAATTGCATTATCTTCTATTTTAACTGATTACTGTATGGTAGATTATTCACATTTAATCTATTTACTATTTAATCTATTTATTTACGTGCAACAAACAATTCGTTATAATGCAAATTCCTTTTATTAAGAGAAGATCTCGGCTCGCGGGTCACAAGTGATCAATTATACTGTCGTATGAGACATAAATTTTTATGGCAGAACTAAATAAAAAACGAGATCGATAAATTGATATAAATTACATAATAGGAGGGGGAAAAAAGATGCTTTAATAATTAGGATGATCTTTTAATTATAAGTTTAAGATGACCTTTTAATTATAACAGCCAAATGTCATGGCAGTTCGCAATAATATTTTGTAAAATGTAGAGTACTGATTTGTTCTCCTATAGTGCCAACGGCGTCACGAGTATCTTTGTCCTGAATTTAACAAGTCGGGGAATTGCAGCAAAGGTGAGTGTTGTCCTTATCCTCATAAATCGCATTCCTCTAATTCCGTAAAAAGTGCCAAATATTTGAGCAAGACGCATGATACGCAAAAATATCGTGCCGCACTTGCCACACAGGATAATTCCGAGATCTCAAATTCGGAGGGCAGATTAAGATATTACGAAATAACTGGTGGTTTATCTGAAGAACTTGAGAAAAAGAAAGAAATTCCAATTGTCGATCCTTTAGAACAAATTCAAATATATGAAAGTAAACAAGATAAAACCTTAGCCAAAGAAAATAAACGTGAATTAGAGACAACGGTTTATGATCGTAATAATGTAAAAAGGAAAGTTTCTATTGGTTATATCCCTATTAATCATTTTTAATTTGTATATACATTAATTAATAAACATTTTTACTAAATAATTTTTTAAATTGATTTACGAGATCGTGAACATTAAATTAAATCAATGCAATTATTTCACTTAAGATATATATGTTGGGAGATCTCATTTTTAATGATTATGTATTCGCTATAAAATTGTATAAATTTTTCGTCTAGTATATTTAAAAGAACTAAATTTTTTAAAGTAAATTTATTATAGTTTTGTATTTTATAATGAAATATTATACTATTACATTCTATTATAAATAAGTAATTTTCATATGTAATACGAGTACTCGATGTGTTGTGATATATCAAGTACTAATTCTAGGTATTTGGGTGTACCTAAGATATACCCCAACAATCGATTATCTCGGATATATTATAAATATACTACAAATATTAATTTATATTATTAATTGTGTAGATATATAATTACAAAAATATAATAAAAAATTATTTACAAACTTTCTTTTCTAATGAATTATTTGTGATAAACAAAAGTTTGTGATAATTTTATCATGTATTTGTGTATAATCTTATGTGAAATCTTTGAGCCATTTCCATTCTATGTGAAATCAAACCTTACAAACTTTCAGCTAGTAGGAATGAGAATAATTTGATTTTATATTTTATGATTCACGAAGTATGAAAAGATAATGGCTAGCGTAATACATGTCAAGACTCGGATTTTTAAAAAAGAGCGACACAAATCGTTGATGGTCGTCATAAATTATTTTAAATTATCTAGTGATCCATATTCCTTATTAATATCTGATATCGAGTTGAGATATTTGGTTGATTCGTCATTTGACGAACTGAACAGTGAACAGAAAAAGCGATTGTCGGTTAATTAATTTGCTAACTCTTTTGAAGGAGAGTTAACATAGGTCTGCCTGCGAATTTTTTTATCAAAATTTTACTGATCCTCTCATTTCATCATTTTTTAGACTAGATTGACCCTTATTTTCCCTCATTCAGGAAATAATGGAAATTATGTTAGAACATTCAATTGTACATAAAATAGAATTACATTTTATACAGTCTTATACAAATAAAATGTGTAATTACACGCGCATATATATACATGCACATACATGACATACATTTACGTTTTATGTGTACATATAATTTATAAAATTTGTATATTTGGTGTATATTTAAATAAATAAAAACATAGATGCAAATAATTTGTATATTTCTTTAGCATAAACTTTACGTTAAAAATAACATTTACTATGTTAAACATCATTTTTGTACAGTTAGCAACAAACAAAACTTCATAGTCTTCATAAAAAGTGAGAAAGCTTAAATTGGTGCTTTTATTTCTTGTATTAAATGTCTCTTAATATAAAGTAATAATTTATATACGTATACAAGAAATAAATCTATAAGGAACTTGTATGCATAATATAAATAAATGTTTACTTATATGTCCACAAACGAAAAAACAGTGAATTAAGATTAATTTGTTAATAACAATATATAAAACTTATGATAAAAAATTAGATGCTAATTTGACTAAGAATCCTGAAGCAAACTCTATCGTGAAAACGGATATTATTAAAATAAAATATTTTGCAAAAAAACTGAAAAATCCTAGAACTCACTTCTTGTCAATATTTCAATTATATATAAGAATCCAATTTGTCGAATGGTTATAAGCTAATAAAATAGGGCTATGTAATAACAAGGATATATTATGTTGGTCAACGGATGCTGATACTATTAACCACTGCTCAAGCCAGCTTCTCATATTTTCTATAGACATGTTTGCAGGATTTAGGCCTCTAAAAGATAATGCCTGAAAAATAAATTAATAATAAAATAATGCTAATATCTTCTACACTTTCTTTTATGCTAATATCTTTTATATTATCTTTTATGCTAATCGTTATGATATTCGTAATATCTTTTGTATACTGTATACTGTACAAGTATACATGTTATACAAAACAAAATTTAGTAAATTGTAATATTTTATATACATATATTGTATATATGTATCAAAATCTTTCAAGACAAAATAAACAAGATAGAAATTACATTATAAAAGTAATGAAGATGTGTCTTCTCTTTTGTATAAGTTACAATGAAATGAAAGACTAAATGTAATTAACTTCTTTCATAAAACCTATTCTAAAAGTGTACATATCTTATAATGCCCTGAAAGCATGAAACTAACAAAAGGTATCTACCCATCGCATCGCTTCATTAGACATTTCTTTTACTCCTCCCTCTCGTACGATAGCGCGATCCATTCGTAATATTAACATACCCCTTTCCGTCAATCTTTTCCTCTTGAAAGGTCTCCACAGTGGCATACCGTGTATTGCCAATAGCTCTTTCTGGAAAGCATAGCAAGTACATCTATATTATAACGAGCTTTCAGAGGAGAACAAATTCATGTCCAGAAGCAACGGAAAGCACCAACTTGTGAGCTTACCAGGTGTTTCCTCTTGAGATTGCTGAGGGAATACGGCGGGCCTGAAAAGAGCTTGGAACAAGCTATGATATTCTCGGTGGTCGGATGCGTGCCGCTTCCTAAGCAAGCTATAGCGTCTCGCCACTTAATCCTGAGCGCCTGATCCTTGATAGTCTTGATACTCTTGAGTTCTGCCTGCATGCATCTCAACAATGGTCTGTTGTGCCTCAGCCTGGCCTTGTGTTCGGACAGCATGAATTCTAGCTTCTGCTGCAGCGTCCAGTAGTGCGACGTCAGTAAATAGCGCGGGAAGTACAGGGCTAGGGGAAAAATAATGTAATTCGTAAACGGCACGGCCGAGAGCAGGAACAACGGCGAGAGCTTTCGCAGATCCCTGGGCATCGTGTGCATCAGCTGCAGCTCCTCCCGCGTCAAGCTATCTACGCCGTTCGATCCCTGCTTCTTTATCGCGACGACGAACCTTTTCAAGTCCGTGTACACGTCACGGCTACCGACGCTGAACACGCGGTACACCTGCATCGTACGCGGGAACTTCTGCTCCAGCGTGCGCTCATAGTTCTTGATGTAATTTATGTACCTGCCGAACCAGTACCGTTTAAGGTTGGCCACTTTGCCCGACTTCTCCGTACTCTCCGCCGCTTTCCCAAAACCCCGTTGCATTGGGATGCGTTTTACGGGCTCGAACGTGTTCACGCCCTCGCGCACGAACGTCCTGGATATTATCTTGTACATTTTAAGATCGATTCTTTACTAGAAACGGACTTCCATGGAATCGGTTAACCTGAACAACCCTCTTTCCGCACCTGAAGATTCTTAACTCCGGGAAAATTGTTGAAACTTCTCCTTCATATTAGTAAACTCTGATTTATTGCAATCCACTAAAAAAAATGGTATAATACGTTATAATGGCATAATACGATTATAATACGTACGTAATATGTCCGTAATATGTGCGTGTTCTTTCTAGCTCGATATGTTCAAGTACTGTATTTTTAGTATTTAATTGCGCGTAATTACCGATATATTGTTATTTCTTTCAATTACTCTTGCTGGCTGCTCACGTTGCCCAGAATGTTGTAATTAATGTTTTATATTTATATTTATGGCTGTACTACACTATTTTGTACCTTCTACACTCGAAATGAAGTAGATACAGAGAGAAACCTCCTCTGTAGATAACATCGGAGAGAGAAAGAGGGAGGGTGAAAAGTGCAAAAAGTTCAGCTACAAAGAACAAAAATAAACTCTGTTTTTTTTCGTACCTTCTGCACTCGCAAAAAGTTCAACTGCAAAAAATAAACCTGTATACTATTATATATCTATCGCGCAACGTAATTAATAGAAGATTTGTGTTAGAAAAACGGGCGTTCTCCCAGTTGGTGACACGGCGAAAAAAGTTTAGGCTATCCCGAATTAAAAAAAAGAAAACATCGCGGCCATCGCGCATGTGACTCGTGACTGCTTTGCCTAATGGTGTCGACAATTAACGACCCGTGCCAATACTGCCAATCAATTTATTGAAGAAGAAGCGTAAAGGTGTAAACGTCGTTGCATTTTCTGTCCCTAATCTGAAATGGGACTTCATTAGCGCTGCTCCTGCAAATAGGTATTTCGGATAGCTGGTTAAGCTGGTGCTGGCGAGGATTGCCGAGAAAGCGGAGCTGTCTGCTGTCAATGAGCCGACCATGACTGACTGGTATCAAGCGAAAATCCTGCGTCTGTGCGAATTGAACAATGTCGAGGACAAGAAGGACCTTCTCACGGACATCAAGCTTAAATTCGGCGCTTTGAATAACCGGGACGCCGAGCAGGTCGCCCGTAGCTTGGACTACGGGCCGTTCTATTCGCAGCTAACCTCGAACGACACTAACGACAGGTACGATGACAATCGAGATTTTTGCGATTTTCATGAACGATAATTCATGCAGAAAAAGAAACAGAATACCGAGAGAAAGTCGAGTTAGGCTCTTTTCATAGGACATGTTTATTGGACATTACTGAAGAAATGATTACAATTTCGTTGTCATAAATATAGTTTCACCAGAATTTTTCAATAATGAGCGTTTGATTTTTGCGATTCTCATAGACGATAATTCATGCATACACATATACATATATTGCATATACATATATTTGTTTATAGAAAGAAAAACAGAACACCAAGAGAAAGTCGAGTTACACTCTTCATAGGACATGTTTATTGGACATTACTAGAGAAATGATTACAATTTCGTTGTCATAAATATAGTTAAGTAAAAAATTTTCTAATAAAGCATGGCTACCTCTGGATTGTATCTTCTACTAATCCTGCTTTGTTGAAAAACAGAATAAAGGGAAGTACAAGTTAAAAGACGTTCCAATTGGCCAATATCCAATAAATCTACACCATTGAGAATGAAATTACATCATTTCTTCAGCAATGTGTAATAAACATATCTTATAAAAATCAAGAACACAACTCGATTCTTTCTTAGTATTCTGTTTTTTTTTCAACAGTGTAGTGTATAATTTGCGAATTGTAGTTCATGTAAGCTTTTAATTATTTATTTCCATTTAATTGTAGAACGTTATTGTCAATATTAATACATGTTAAGTATCTACATTGTGACAATCAAAAAGTTGCTGAAATTAAATAGTCATTATTTTGTAGTAAATGGATACAAATGATAGAGGAATAATCTTCCTCTGTTAGACTGATAAAAATGATGGGGTTTTTTTTTCACAGAATAGCATTCTCAATATTTATTTCTATAGTAGAAAATAATATTTATTTAGCTTCAGCAACTTCTCGATTGTTACGTTGTATGTGTAAACAACAATAGTCCTATCAGTATAACATTTTGAAATTCTTATTTTATGATTATTCAAACTAATTTATATGCGACTGCTTTTACTCATAGAATCTAGTGCAAAACTTTGCTTTTTGTATCAATTATGCAATACAATGCTTCTGAAATTTACTACTAAGAACGAAAACAATACCGCTTTTTTTTTTTTTTTTTACAGAGAAGTCGTAGAGCAGATATGCGATATTCTGGCAATTTTGTTCAGCATATTGGAACCTGGGGAAATCTATCAGAAATATTTAGTTCAAGTATCCGCTTTAATAACCAATCCACATGCTTGCGTGAGATTGCTTGTGCTGCGTGAATTTCTGCGTACGGCCTTGCATCCGGAAAAGATATTTCAGTTGCTCGCAGACACCACCCTTCTGATTTCAATTATAAACCGAATCGGCGATGACGACTTGAATGTCGCCGAATGCGCGATGAGCATAGTGAAGAAGATTGGAGAAAATCCAAATGGCTTGTGCATCTTGTATAAGGGCGAGCTCCTGAGAACGTTCGCCCGGCTGTTGCAGAACGATACCATTAGCTTTCGCATTTACGAAGTAATTGTGGACATTGCCAAAACATCTCACGAGGCTCTGGAGGTATCGGCCCAATCGGGCTTTTTGAACAGTTTAATCAACGTACTGGAGAACGAGGATATACTGCTTCAATTGAATGCCTTGGAGATATTGACTCAATTAGCCGTGTTCGAGGAGGGTCTGAGTTACCTGGAGCAACAGGACGTTCTGAACAAGCTAGTTCAGAAAATAGCACATGTCGACGACAATCCCTTGTCGAATCTTTTGATCCCCGGATTGATGAAGTTCTTCGGTAACGTCGCGCGTCACTGGCCGAACGAGTTATTCTCCCGATATCCCGTGATAATCTCCGCGCTTTTCGACGTGATAGACAGCGGGGATCAGAATATTCTGGGTCCTGCGTTGGATACCTTGGGATTTGTGTCCGCGAGCATCGAAGGCAAGTACGCGTTGCAAGCCCTGGGAGACGCGATGCCGAGCGCTCTTAAGAAAGTCGCCGAGATAGTACAGAAAATGCCGACTGCTCTGAGAATTCGCGGCTTGAATAATCTCGCCCTTATACTCGAGGTCAAGAGAGTCGAACAGGACAACAGAATTTTATCCCTAACGAAGCTGTGGTTTGATTCGCTGTGCGACGATCCGTTGGGTATGATTGTGGAGATATGCAGACAACCGTTCGTCGATATCAGACAGGCCGGTTTGGAGGTGCTGGCCGTTATTAGTTCGCAAGTATGGGGGCAAGAATACATATCCACGTATCCTGGTTTAGTAGAGTTCCTATTAGACAGAAATATCGAGTCGTTCAAAGAGTGTAAAAATGCAAAATACGAAGTCGTGAAACGTTTGTCTCAAGCGGAGCGAGATATATTCGACGCTGATACCATCCAGAAATTCAAGCGGTTCGTTCACGAAGGCCCATACTTTGTCGAGGTTAATACGGAGGTCGCGATAGAGGGTGCTTCGTAAAGGGGAGAATAATTTTTTGCATTAATATTAAATATTAATGTTAAAGATTATGTTACGCATAACATGATAACATGAACAACTTCAGTGAGAGATAGAAATAAATATTTATTTTTTCTTTTATTCGTAAAAAAGAAGGTATTGATTACCACAGAAGGTTTGATCTTTGTTCTCGCATTTAGTACAAATAAGCCAACGTTATTGAAGTACTTATACTTGAGCTGCGTTCCGATATTCACTGCAAGTACTGAAAATCTATAGTTTACGTAACGTACACTATACATTTTCAGTACTGACAGTGAATATCGAAACGCAGTCTTATTGTTAGTCTCTTTTTCGGAGCAGTTTTCTTTATTAACGAAACATTATTGATATTGGAATTTATATACAAAGAGAAATAATTTATTTTATATCTAACGATACACAAAAAAATCTAAATTGTTACGTTATATTCGAGAAACAAATCAAATAAATGGTATTAAAATATACATACATATATGTAGTAATGTTCGCGATATTTTATCATTAATCTTCGCAGATCTTTACGAAATTTATACATAACGTGTAAATAAGATCGTATAAATAATTGTACGGGTGTATGATGTGCGTTAAATATACTTTAATCTCTATTGTATGCGTTTCCGCTTTTTCGGTGAGACAATCTTCAGCATACTGACCACCGGTGCTTCAAAAGCGACTGACACTACAAACGACAACGCGTACGATAGCACTAGCTGCCCCAGAAATGTTATCATCTGAAAAATAAAGTGTTTCATGACAATCCGCTGTTAGTTAATTAAAGTTCTTCTCTCTTCGGTCATAAAACTTACCATTACATCTTTCCCTAGATGAAACGGAGAGTCTAGGTTCATAGCGGTTAGACGAATCACAAGCGGATGAACTAGATAAGAGCAGTAAGTCACTCTGCTGAACGGGTATAAGAGTGGCCACGATAGAATCTTATTTACATATCCTGAAACAGTACCGGTTTAATAGCCCAGTGTAGTCCAATTAATTAGTCTAATGTTTATTACAATTAATCTAATATAATTTATCAATGCATATGTATTTCTTACCACCGTAGCCAGTACTACACGCTATTACGATCCACGCTAGACCTAGTGCCCACGCACTGTGGCTCAAGGATGAATACGCCGCTGCGGTAACGGGTGTAAGTTCCGCCTCGTATAAACCATAAAGCAAACTCAAGAGACACGCAGAGGACAGGAGCCACCCCACGACGACGGTAGTCTAGAAATGAGATAACGTTTAAATTCTTTTTCTGAGTAATAGAAACTAACAATTTAATTTTTTTATCAAAGAGGAATGTTCAGACGACATAAAGAGACGACTTCTAAGGCTCAGTTTTACGAGGGTCGGTTAAATTTTAATCTTAGATTAACTCACTCTTCGTCTCTTTCTAATGTCCCTCTTAGAAAGAGACGAAGAGTGAGTTAATCTAAGATTAAAATTTAATCGATACTTGTGAAACTGGGCCAAAGAGACGTTTCAATCTTTCAAACGTTGAGTTTTTTTGAGATCGTTGAATTTTTCTTGATATTGATCGTACCTTAGACATTTTTACTTTGCAATCAGTCTTGAAGAGAAAGTAGCCGACGGTCATGCCGATCAGATAAGGGCCCAATCTCGTCCACGGCTTGTCGTAGATCTTGTCGAAGAGGGCCAACGGATCGTCCAGGCTCGGCATGTGATTATTAACTAGGGCGATGTAGCCGGTGGTTACCCATGAGCTTACTAACAGAGTGACTAACGCGAAAGCAGCGATTTTGAAGTGATTTGTAGCCAGTATCAGAATCACTCCGCCAACAATATAGAACTGCGTATCGTCCGCTAGGTACCAACTCCAAAGCATACACTGCAATATCACGGTGTAAGTTTACCTCTTCGTTTGATGGAAATAGAATAAAATTTGAAAATCTCCAAAAGGGGGCGAATTAAAAGGAGTATAAATTAAAATTAGAAAGATTAATAAGCATGAAATTTGTACTTTACAATTATTTTTATAAAATATTGCATTATAATTTATATTACGAAAAAAAAATTAATTATTGTGGAACCAACATTCGAAAAGTTTTGAAAATTATGAATCCTATTATAGGGAATATATACAAATAAAATAATACGCACCATTTGGTCGACGGGAAACCACGTATTGATATAGAGTAAATTCCTCCACCAATAATTAGGACAATTATAATGATCTGCCGTGGGAGGCTCGAAAACGGAATTCGTATAGAAATGCTTCATCGAGATCTCGACTACACCTAGTACGAACATGTACGGCGTGGTGAGCCTACAAAATCGATACAAAAGAAGCCCGATGAATTTTAAGGTGCCCGCGGCGAAGCCTCGCGTGCCCTGCGTGAGTCTCTTCAGGTCTCCCTTGGCGTTGGTTCTAAAATATAGAAAGGCCACGAGCAAACCGCCCATGAAGAAAAATGTATCGACGCTGAAAGCCCCGTTCGTGATGGTCTGGAAGAGGAATCGCTTCTCCACCACTTTGCGATATTCCATGTTGTCCGAGTATTTAAAAACGATAATGCACGTGTGCCCGAGGATGACCCAGGCCATCGATATCGCTCTAAGCCCGTGCACGGTGCTAATTGTGTCTCTGCCCACGTTACGATCGCAGATAACTCTCAAATTAGCGGGAACGGAGAAAGAAAGCAGAAGTTCCTCGAAGGTACCTGCAAAAATTGGAAGGTTGAAAGGTTTTATTGTATCGCAACGAATGTATTAATTAAAAAAGAACACAAGAGTCTTCTTCCCAGATAACATGCATGTTGCATAAGACGTCGTAAAGAAATCTTTAAGACAACTAAGATATCTTAAGATATCTTTAAGATATCTTTACGAAGTCTTATGCAACATGCATGTTATCTGGGTTTATAGTCATATAATTCTAATCTAATCAGGAGAGAAATGATCTTATAATTAATTTCCATTCTACTCTTTCTGCTTTGGTCTAATCATTTAATTTTTATATGAGATTATTACAATCACTTAATTTTTATAATCGGGAATTAGAAAAGAGAATAACAGAATATGGATATATTATATATAAGTAATCATTTTTACTTTTTTATTTTAAGTTAATCGCTATATTAAATTAAGTCAATACGTTAAAAATAAGGAACAGAGGAAAATCTAATTTCGTTTATTTTTATATAGAATAATTGTTAAATATTTATGTTCGTAAACTAGATCTCTTGCGATTCAATTTATAATTTGTCTGTTTTTTTACGGGGATGATATTTTCACTTCAGGGATAATTATCGAGTAATACATAAAAGTTTAACGTACTAAGCTGTTGCTCCTCTTTGGTAGACGCTCGCAAGTCGTTCTCGAGACTGTTGTTATTGTTAATTGACTGCATGCCGTTGCTACTAGAATCTGCCACTGGAACAGGAAGGTAGACCTTACCTTGAACAGCTGCGGAATACAATAATAAATCGTGTGACTACTTTTTTACCGTCCTTGTCTTGTCTTGATAGTCTGTAAGTGATAGTCGTGCATTATATTAGTCTGTATTTTTTACGTACGTTAGTCCGTACATCGCTACGTTAGTCGCTTTTTAAAATTACAGCATTTTTCAGAGTTATTACAGTACGAGTTAGTACCATGACAGTGAATTAGCAGTAACTTTCTTCCTCAGTACAAAACAGTTATTATATTGCTGAAAGCAAGACTACGTTTTGCGTTTCGTCTTATAATTTATTCGTCTTATTTGTCTTATTCGTCTTATTTAATTCGTCAAACTTGATTCTTATTTCTGTCATTTTTGCGCAATTTTCAGTTTAGACGATGTCTTAGAGATTTCTCACACTTTTTTCTACCTATGTATGATTTCTTATATATATTTCTTTTCAGGAATAGATTTTTCTTTAATAAAGATATATCGATATACTATTAATATTTCCATATTATATGAACTAAGCTCCATGCACATGTATATTAATAACAAACCTTATTCAATTTTAAATGCATAGTGCTTTAAAGAAATTTTAGTTGAAAATTTATAAAGAGTTATAAAGAAATGTTCAATATTTTTAATACCTCAAAACTAAAGATAAAAAACGGTTTACTTTAACACATTTTCTAAACTAAAAACAAATTTTTACTAAAAAAATTCAGTTTTAAGTAGATTAAAAGACCTATGCATAAAAAACTGCATAAACAATCTACAATATTTCTTTATAAATAACAGAAAATAAATCTCCATTGTTTTAATATATTGATATTATCTCGTTTCATGTGATACAAATGATGGCAGATTAACGAAACGATCAAAAAATTCTTGGACATGATCATTGACTCCTTTACCATTTATGACCTTCCGATCACCATTAGTGAGATGATCAAGTTTCCCATGCTTTTCCAAATCGTAGATTGCATTTCTCTTGCGGACTAGCTTTCTCGACAGATGATATTCATACCCGGTACCGAGAATCATCAGTATCAAGACCACCACGCTGACACCGCTGAAACATATTGAATTCTGGTTTTTGCGTCTATTGAATTAGTAATTAAAAAGATATTAATTGTAGTCTTCGAATACATAACAATATTAATAAAAACAATATACGTATATATAAATATATATTTATCTAAATTCTTTTTGTTTTTGCAAAATATGATTCGTCTTTCGTGATAATCAAATAGGCAAGTGCACTTTGCAAGTAGTCAAACGTCTTTTTTCGTATATTATACAATTTTATACTTACGATAAAACCCAGAAAATCGGATCTGTGTACATGTCATATGAGTTATGCTGATCTCTGACTTTTTCAATCGTTGAATGCTTTGCTGCAAGTTCGCTTGCGGCGAGTTTCCCGATCACGACGACGTCGGAGGCGGTGCATGAGAACGGCAGGCAAACGCCCAGGTGAATCAGTCTTGTCTGAAATAAGAATAATGTTTGTAGGTTGTTGGATTCAAAACTTTGCGTAAAATAATATCCAATATAAAAAATCTTTTTTTTTTTCAAAAGCGCAAAATTCTCCGAGTCGAGATGCTTCCTTAAAAATAAGCAATAAAGAGAATTTGGCGAAAAGCAAATGCATGTTATATTTACAATAAGACTTCGACTTGGATATATGTATATTTAAAAACAGTTATGAAGACATTAAGAATATTCTTTTTATAATACCGGCTCCTTTTTTTTGCTAAGTTTCTATGAAAACCTTACGTTTATGAAAAAGGGAATTTTGTATCTCATATTTAGACCAGAGTAGATAATTATTTTTACACTTCTTTGTTCAATGTTTAATATTGTTACCATATTATTTATACTTCTTAATATAATAATTTTATGTAAGCGATTGTATATTTCATAAATTTTCTTCATATATTTATTTACGAAATAGAAAATAAATATAAAATAAATTAAAATAGAGAATGTTCAAGATGTTTTCATTCAGTTATACACATAAATTTGCATATCGATGATACTTACAGGTGTATAAGATACATTTATAGAAAGTTTTAGCATATAGAATCCCAATTGAAAAGGCATTTCGACGGAGTCTGTTTGAGTCCAAACGCTGGTTCCGCTAATACCCGTATTGATTTTTTTTCGTGACTCCGTATGAATCTCTTCGAATGTAGTAACTTTGGAATCTTTTACGTGTTGTTTTGAATACGTATGGTGCGATGGGTTCTTTCCGATATAATGGCATTCGGTGGCTGACCCCATAAAATAAGAATTACCCCAGAAAAATCCGGTTGTGAATCTACCGGATGCATCGTCAACTGAAAAAAGAAGGAATTCATCATCAGCGAATGTAACAATGTTAGATTGTAACGTATATCTTATATTTTAAATGAAAAAAAAAAACTTGGAAAATTTTTTGCTTTAAATTTAAGTAAATTATACATTATATATTGCAATGGATGAGAATTAAAAGCTCTTAAAAAAATAGGTCCTCGCTTATCGAGAATGACGGAACTTCTAAAACAACATAACTATAAATAGCAAATCGCACTAATAAAAATGTTTGTAACAAAAAATTTTTATTACGTTTTCTCCGAGGAAAGATATGTTAGAAAAGGCCAAAGTTGATCAAGGATCAACGGACGCAAGGATAAAGAGTAAGTTTGGATTAAAAGTTTTATTACGCATTGCATCGGCAATGTTTTTCCGATTGAGGAAAGGAAAGGAAAGAAAGACTCAGGAAACTTTTAAAGCTACTGTACAACAAGGCGGAAGTCGTATGTTTTATAGGGACTAACTATTTGTCAATAGAGAAAGATTTTCGGAAAGGCTTTCGGAGCATTAGAAATCTTCAAGTCCCGAGATGAAAGCAGTTGCGCGGCGCGTGAAAGTTGTAAAAAGGAAATATTGCGCTATAGATGATACGATATATAAATAAAACAATAAGCAATATACACCATGACGGAATGCTGGCGGCACGTAACATCGTTCATAAATTAGCCAGCACCATTGGCCGGTTATTATCTAATATGAAATTAGTAATCTTACTTGCTTTAAATGCCGGGTGCGTAATTTCTACCTGATTAAATAACCGGGCTGCGTAATCGTACGCGAGCTTTTTTTCGCGAGTGATGCAACGAAGTATATCCTTGTTTTACTTATCATCGTGGACAACGCTAACGCAACTCGGCGCGATCGTCATCGGGAAGGCGCGAAGACGGCGGAGGCTTACGTTCGGACGGAGTGGCTTCAACGAAGCATGTACTTTCTATTCAGGAAGTAAAAGATGTTATCTAACCGTCGGTACAAGCGGCGGATTTACGAGTTTTGTATTACATAGGTCTCAGCTCGATCGCGATCCCATTACGTCACTTTGCGGGGCTGCATGCTTGCGGCTGCAGCTGCGGTCGGCGTCATCGTGTTTTTCGCGTCCGCGAGAGTCGTTCCGGATACCTATATCAGTATTTTGTCTCGTCTCTCACTTCCCGGCTTTCGGCTCGGTAAAATTTTACGATGTAACACAGAGTGTAATGTCATGTTTTGGTAATTGGTTCTTTCGAATCTCGTTTGCCGCGCAAGGACTGAGTAACGAGAAATAATTTTAATTATTTATAATGATAAAAGAAGAATGACGAACAATAAAAAGACAACTAAGAAATTATTTTCACTTTAAAACAATCTTACAGTTTTCATTGATGTGCTATTTATAAAAGTACTATTTATAAAATTTACTGTTTTTTTTTTTAAGAACGAAATGAGGCTTGTGATATCGGAAATTGAGTATTGTGCGTACGTGTGTATTTTTAATTTTATTTATAATATTATAATATAATTTCTTCTCTCTCATATATTCTATATAAATTGGTACAATTAAAGTACTACTAGTATAAAGCTTCAATATTAATTTAAGAAAAAAATTTATTTTTATTAATTGGAACAATAATTACACAATTTTTTTAAAAAGTGTAAAAATTAATAAGCTCTGAAGAACAATTAATCATTTTTCTTTAAACGTTTCCATTTTACAATTAGCAGGCTTGATTTTAATTTTATAGTCATATTCTACAATACCTGCCATTCTTTAGAAAAAAACTTGCTAAAAAATATTTATCTTTACTAAAGTTGTGTATAATTTTACAATAAGAAACTTTAAATTCTTATGAAAGAAAACTTGAAGAAATAGTGAAAATAAAAGGGAAATTGGGAAGATTTCATATCTCTTTCAATCTTCGATTTCAATATACAAGCTTTCACTTACCGATCATTAACATTCACTACTTATCGCTTGATCGTGACACAATGCGGATTCATATTGTCCTTAGCATGACAATAATTTTGCATCGTGGTTCAGTTTCATTGCGGAACATTCTAAAGTCAAGTTCAGGCTCGCCTTGCAGTTCGATTTATTTCCGTACAAAACATAAATGTGCAATGTTACATTTGAATCATTTGATCTTATAAAATCTTGGAGAAAATCATGGTAATGCTATTTTATATTTTATTCATTGTCCGTGCACAGCGGATAATGAATATGAATAATCGCAATATCTACGAATTGCTGTAATAATTGTAAAACGAAACTTATAAAATATCAGGCAAGATACAAATTCGACATTATGCTATTTAAAAACTAGAAGAATTAAGTTTTATGGTCTTGAAAATATTATAATGTGTTTACTTATTACAATTTACCATTCCATATGTGCTGCACAACAATTAATATCTTGACTAATGGTTTTAAATTCTTAATATTAATATACAATGAATTCTCGAATTACTAAATGATATTTATTTTAATTATATCTCGCTGAGAGTTTCAGATAATCGTTAATCATTCGAGTTTATTGATGGGTTTACAGTAAGTTTCATAAACAGGAAGGAAAAGGCCAACCATTTACAGAGTAAATGCAATATATATGTGTCGACGCTCGAGCATTGAAAGCTGCAAAAGAAAGTGAACGTGCGAAGATAATGACATTGCACTTTCTGCACTACACGGAGATAATTTTTGTTATATTTTACCCTTAAATTCACTACAAACTTGGGACAACTTGGCAACCGAGGAATTTTGAAAACATACAAAAGACATTTTACAAACAACGTGGTAAAAATTACCAAGCAGATTGGTAAATTTTGAAAAATTATTGAAATTTCCTATATATATTTTAGTAAAATTAATCAAACATTTTATATTTTAATGTAATAGATATTAATATTTTTTATTATGGTGGATATTAATCAGAATAGCTCGTATAAAATTCTTGATGGTACAAGTTGTCCAACAACTATCATGATTCAGGGTAAATTTTAAGAGAAAATTCTCTCCGTGTATATGTTTCTCTGAAGCAGAATTTTAGGAGATATTTTAAAAGTCAGAATTCCCTCTCATTGCACAATTTATCGTTCTCCGAATTTAAAAAGCTTCAATATTTCATATTTTTGCAATATATCACCACTGATACTATTAATAGGTAATTGCGTAATAAGAAATCAAAGTCGTGCGCGATGCTTGGTTGTGACATAAGATCGTATACAGTTAACGTTCGTGAATGTGGCAACAGAAATTATTTCGGGTACAAAAATTCAATTCAAACGATGATGCCTCTAGAATCATTATAAGTTCAGTGATATAACCGCGACCGACAAACTTGTTGTTGGAATGCATAGAATGTTCAATTGCACACATTCTTATTTAAACTTTATAATAATTATAATAATTAATAACAATAGTAGTTTGGTAATCATTTAGTAATAGTCGGTAATAATATAATATTTAATTAAGAATCATATTTAATATTAAGTATAAAACGTATGTAAAACATTTTACTCAACCGAAATATATTTAGCTTTTCTGCATTTTCTGCGTCTTAGTTATTGCAAACTTTTATCTTTGGATGGTGAGTGTGTGTGTTTGTCACAACTATATATGTAACGGAGAAAGTGATTCAGAAGGAGAAACGCGTTTGCATACCTGATTGGTATGACAATATGTTGTAATGTCTATCGGCATTGGCAATTAATATTAACACCGTTTGACATTGGATTACATTTTTATATTGACAGAAGTTGCGCTAAGGATTTCAAGTAGGCGTCCTTGATTACTAATTTGAAAAGAAAGCACGCAAGTTCTTCTGGTTTCATGCAACGTTCTGGTGAAAGTGTTTTCATTCTGTTTGATCGGAATTCAGACGGATATTACAGACATCTGGAATTTTAATTTTGAATAAAAATTCGTCTGTTTCGTTAATTTAAAATCTTCTTGACCTTTCCATAGAGAATATACCCTCCTGCTTCTTCTCCTTAGACAAATTTATAATTATAACTACTTGCGTAACGAGTCATTCTCACGGTGAGTGCCAAATAAATTTTGTTATAGCTATTCGTACGGAATATTGCAACAGATTTTAAATGGCCATAGGCGACATTTTAGAAACTAGTTTAATGGTTTATGGTAATGTTCTCCTTCTAATTACACGTCACAAGATGATACTGCGACTGTTCTTATTCGAGCATATTAATTCTTAACAGGAATACTGGTGAAATCTAGGACAAAATGTATGATGCAAAAATATTCAATAAGGTCAACGTTTTTTTGACATTACCGTCAACTATTAAAAATGAAGTTTTATTAATTCTCGTGTTGTTTTTTTTTAATAAGAAACGAACTCCTAGTTTATCTTGTAACGTGTTGAAATTTTGGTGAGCTCATCGAGAGCTACAGAGAAGACATTTCGTTTGTATTACAAATTTAATTAGAAATTAGAAAAAAATACGAGAGAAAAATTTACAGAAGAGAAAATAGAGTAAATGGTTTCTCCCTCTTTAGTCGCATAACTTTATCTTTTACGATTATTTTTACACAGCGGGATAATGGATTTGGCATTCGCGAGCGCGATAAAAGCGGAAATGCAGATTGTAAAACATGCGCGCCGAAGAGATGCGGTAACTTTCTTTTTCTGACATACGCAGAAATGTAATAATCTCGACACATGAAAGTGAAACGCGATCCGTTTCTAATGCACAATGCCTCAGCTGTCATTTATGGTTGTTCTGTCGCAACAATAGATTAGTACATTTCAAAGTAAACCCACAATTGTCGTTGGTAAAACAATCGATCGCAACGATTGACTCTTCTGTTTGTTGTCAATTGGGCAGTTCGATCAAACGCATAGAATTTTTTTTTTTTTTGAAAAATTAGGATACCGAGAAAACCTAAAAATTTTCCTTTATATCGAAGGAATGAATAAACGGCATAGAAATTTTGATAAGTTTTTACGTGTAGAATGTATTTCATCTTTCTTCAAAGCTCTATGGTTAA